TAACATTAAATCTGTACATACAGTGCATCCGGAAAGTATTCATAGCGCTTCACTTTTTCCACATTTTTTTTTTTGTTACAGCCTTATTCCAAAATGGATTAAATTAATTTATTTCCTCAAAATTTTACACGCAATACCTCATATCTCCAATGATCACTCAGCTTAAATTCATCAGATCAAGAGTTCTGGTGGTTTCAAACATCATCTAGTTACAGATGATGGAGATCAGTGTGCTCATTGGAACTTTCAGAGCAGCAGATATTTTTCTGTAACCTTCCGCAGCCTTGTGCCTTGAGACAATCCTGTCTCGGAGGTCTGCAGACAATTCCTTTGTCTTCATGCTTGGTTTGTGCTTTGACATATACTGTCAACCCTGGGACCTTATACAGACTGGTGTATGCCTTTTCAAATCATGTCCAACCATTCAATTTGTGAATATTAATGTACATGTGAGCTTTCGGGTTTTTTTTTTTTAAATAATTTGCAACAATTTCACAAAATCTTTATTTCACATTGTCATTATGAGGTATTGTGTATAGAATGTTCAAGAAATAAATTAATTTAATAAGGCTGTAACATAAAAAATGTGGAAAAAGTGAAGCTCTATGAAAACTTTCCAGATGCACTATATCAGCTTTTGAAGCATAATCAGCTTCTGAACTTGCACACCCAGTGACAACACAGTTGATACAGATTCTTTTCTTTTCATTTTCTATGAGCAGAGTTAACAAACAAACAAAAACTGCTGTATTTTTTAATAATTTATCAAAAGAAGGCCATCTTGTGCTGACGAAATTGACTTGAAAGCACATGACGTCATTATTACGACTTGTAAACTCGTAAGTAAAAACGCTCCATGAGAACTTGAACACAGCTGTGCACTATACAGTTCATGGGCAGCCAAGATCGTAAATTGTTATAAAGTAACCTGAAATTTGTTACAAACCTATGTTTGTACATGGAGCTGACCACTCAGGAAAATCAGAAGTCTTTCTTTTGGGTAACATTAGCAAAGCCTATTGATCTTCGAAACTTTTACATTTACAAACAGCTAAATTACCACATGACTACATGGAAAATAATATCGGTGGAAAAAACATAGATATAGGGCACTCTAAACAAATTTACACACAGTTCAAATCAAACTAATTATCCCTCTTTTTCACATATTACCCAAACGATGTTTAACAGAGCAATGAAATTTTCACAGTATTTGCTATATTTTTTATTCTGGACCTGTCTTAATTGTTTTATTTTGGCTAGTATAAAAGCATTTTTTCGTTTTTAAAATAAATTTTAAGGTCAAAATTATTAGCCCCTTTAAGCTATATTTATTTACAGTTGTCTACAGAACAAACCATCATCATACAATGACTTGCCTAATTATCCTAGCTTGCCTAATTAGGCCTTTAAATTGCACCGTAAGCTGAATACCAGTATCTTGAAAAATATCTAGTAAAATATTTAATCAAATAAATCAGTTATTAGAAATTAGTTATTAAAACTATTGTTTAGAAATGTGTTGAAAAAAATCTGCAGAAATTTGGGGACAAAATTTATAGGGGGGCTTATAATTAAGGAGGGCTAATAATTCTGACTTTAAATTTATATCAAGAATACCATTAAGCATAGCACCATATACAGTAATACCATAACAAGATCATCACTATACACACTCTCTCTGGATACTATTGAAATGTTCAATCCATGCCCATTCCAGCCTCCTGCCTTCAAATGTCACATTGTCACATAAGGCAGCTGTGTAATGATTGCTCAGGCGTGTATAGATCTCTTAGCTGGACGCGGACATAAATTAGTACGCTGAGTGTGGCACACCCACGTATTTCATTTTTCCTCACTCAATCTGATTTGATTTTGATCATTTTAGGAGATTGGCTACTTGCGTCACTAACACAGTGCCCCTGAATGAGTCACAGCCCTCAAGGTTATTTGGGCTGATTATTTCAAGAAACATGACTTGCATCTCTCGCCCTCCCCTTTATTGCCTCCCATTATTCCTTTCTATGTCTCACCCAGGAACAGTGCCTTGATTCTTTCACTTTGATGCATCTGATATTCCTCTTCCCCAGTCCACCTCTGAAACAAGGCCACTGTGGCGTTGAATGCACCTGGAATTTGAACACAAAACAAGACATTGGTTCACATTTTTGCTTTTCTACCTGCAATTTTAGTCACAGTTTTCCCAGTGTTCGCTTTAGCACTCAAGGGAGGGTGCAATGGCTGCTAGACAGCGTGCAATATTTTTGATCTGAATACTAATGCGCATAGAGCTGTTCAAGTTTACCTGGGAATTTTGGTGCATGTAGGACATTCTCTTAATAAGAAACAACAAAAAAAATCAAGTGACAATAATATCCACTTGTTGTTTATTGTGTCGATAGGTGGTACGCCATTATGGAGTTGCATATGTTCGTGGCCCTCATCCTCTACAAGTTTGAGTTTGCCCAATTGGATCCAATGCCTAAGCCGGTAAGTGGCCTGAGAAAGAGTAACGTCCAGTGGAGAATGGTAAATAAGGCTTGAAAGAGATGGCTTCAAAGTAGGCATTAGGTTAATCATTTCCAGATGTGTTCCTATGGTAGTATTTACCCAACAACGGACCGATCTAATGCTTAAGCACCGTCCTGCTCTTTACCCTTGCAATTCTCAGGCCTGACCAAAAATAGCTTTCTAAGTTTCGCCCACCAACGGCTAAGTTCAGACTAGGAGCGTGGATCTAGATATGAATCATGTATTTATATATATACATATATACATGAGTGTATATGAAATAAATTAAGAAACCACATATAATTTTAAATTATTAAAATAACTAAATTAAAATCTAAAAATGTAGATTTTATATAATAATTTTAGTTGATTTTTTATATATATTTACATTTATTATAAATATGACATATAAGTATGTCATTTACTGTATGTCATTAGCCAGAGTAAAAAAAAAAATTATTGTGGTTAAAAATATGGGTTATTCCAGAAAGTATCGATTTCTCAACTTTTCTGAAATGAATGCTTTGGCATTGTCTTTGTAAAAATAAATAAATAAATAAATAAATAAATAAATAAACAAAAATGTCTAAATACATCTTTTTGGTAATTTATGCAAAGAATGCTCTAAATAATACCATTCATATTTTAAATTAAGAGGAAATGTTATTAGCATAGAATAAAATATTGTGTTTAATTTATAAACTAAATTTTACTCAAACACTAGTTGTAAATCCAGAAGAAAAAAAAATTCAGAGAAACTGAGTATGCAAGTAGACTCTTAAACCATCACAATATGCACAAAAATTTTAAGCAGTATGACTCTCTTTAAAATTAATCATACAAAAATAATAATTTTCAGTTCCAAATAAACACATTAGAAAGATTTCTGAAAGACCACACTGAAGCCATGTCAGCATCTATCTTGTAAATTTTTATTACTAATAACATTATTTATTTGAAAATACAATATACAGTATCTAAACTTCTAATATTTTATTTACACTTACCGACCACTTTATTAGGTACACCTTATTAGTGCCAGGTTGGACCCCCTTTTGCCTTAATTCTTCATGGCCTAGATTAAAAAGGTACTGGAAATATTTCTCACAGATTTTAGTCCATTTTGACATCATAGCATCACACAGTTGATGCAGATTTGTCAGCTGCACATCAATAATGTGAATTCACTGACCATTGGTACAAGGCAGGATAGATCCATGCTTTCATGTTGATGACGCCAAATTCTGACCCTACCATCCTAACGTCACAGCAGAAATCGGGACTCAGGCTTGGCAATGTTTTCCAATCTTCGATTGTCCAATTTTGGTGAGCCTTTGTGAATTGTAGCCTCAGTTTCCTGTTCTTGGCTGACAGGAGTGGCACCCGGTGTGGTCTTTTGCTGTTGTAGCCCATCCGCATGAAGGTTCAACATGTTGTGCGTTCAGAGATGCTCTTCTGCACACCTCAGTTGTAGCAAGTGGTTATTTGAGTTACTGTTGCCTTTCTATCAGCTGGAACCCGTCTGGCCATTCTCCTCTGACCTCTGACATCAACAAGGCATTTGCGCCCACAGATCTGCCGCTCACTGAATATTTTCTCTTTTTCAGACCATTCTCTGTAAACCCTGGAGATGGTTGTGCGTGAAAATCCCAGTAGATCAGCAGTTTCTGAAATTGTCAGACCAGCTCGTTTGACACCAACACCCACGCCATGTTTAAAGTCACTTAAATCCCCTTTCTTCCCCATTCTGCTCGGATTTAACTGCAGCAGATTGTCTTGACCTTGTCTACAGACGTAAATGCATTGAGTAGCTGCCATGTGACTGGCCGATTAGAAAATTGTGTTAACGGGCAGTTGGACAGGTGTACCTAATAAAGTGTCCGGTGAGTCTATATATATTAATGTTTTAATGTTTAACATTCTAAAACCTTAAGGGATAGTTCAGCCAAAAAAATAAAATGACCTCATTATTTATTGTCCCTCAAGTTTTTGACCCTTATGAGTTTATAAGTAAAACAAACGAAGATATTTTGAAGAATGCTGATTGCTGGCATCCACTGACTTCCATAGTAGGATTAAAAAAATACTACGAAAGTCAACAGATGCAAGCTACCAGCATTTTTTAAAATATCCTCTTTTGTATTCAACAGAAGAAAGAAACTCAAATAGGTTTAGAACGAGAGAGTAAATGATGGCAGAATTCTCTGTATCTCTTTTGAAAACCCTTTGATTTTGAGCTAAAAGTCAGCTTAAAAAGTTCGTACCATTTTGCATAGAATAATATCATACATTGTAAGGATATCTGCATACTCACCAAGGGTTGAATATCTCATACATGAGGTCATTGCACTTGATAAATACAGTATATGCAAAGACGATAGAATTCTTAAAGGGACTTTGATATATGCATCTGTTTTTATAGAGTCCTCTGCATTTGGTGGGAACCCAGCAGCCAGACGGACCCTGTACAGTGAGATACAAGCACAGATAGAGCGCTCATGTTCACAGGGCTGTGCTGCTGCTTTTGAGCTTTGCTGACAGTCCTGACATTAGAGTTGCAGAGATCAACGGCACATCCTGGGCTGAGCTTCAGAGGTTTGAAGCATCATGCTGAATGTTAAACAGCAACACGGACACTCACTAAGCAAATACTATATACCCGTCTAAAGGAAAGCAGAAAATCATACAGATAATTAACGATATTCACTTTTACACGTGTCACAGTTATGTTGGGTCATCCTCCTATATAATTAATGGCATAATAGAGATGATATACATCAGAAAGCCAGAGGTTGTGGAAATTCCTCTCCCGCACTGAGAGGCTTTATCATTTACAGGATGTATGAAGTAAACAGAATGTGTTGCAGTCATATATTAAACATCTTGCGCATGAAAAGGACAAAGTAATGGCAAAGTTTATAGACAATAAAACTAAGTGGAGGTTCTCTTTTGTGAAGCAGAAATATGTAAACACATTATTACATGTATAAACACTGTGCTTCTTTTCTGCGATGGCGAAAAGGATGGTTTCTGTAAACACATCTGTCTTGTAGTCTTTAAGTTCTTTACGGCATCTGTGCGCACTCATTTTTGGAGAAAACATTAGATGACATAATTTACATGGGGTGGGTTTTTTCAAGCATCTTTAATTTGTAAGGCAAACAGAATGTTTACACTAATTAAAAATGAAGATACTTCATTGAATCAATCACTGAGCTTGTGTACATTACGAGAAAAAAAGAAACCCTTTGTGCTACTTTGCAGTGTGCTTTTCAACAAATAACAGCTTGATTGTGTTTCAATAAAGAACATGTTTTCGGTGCAGAAGTTTTTTTTGCTGGCCAACCATGTGACTGTGAGTTCTGCTGGTCCTGGGACAGCATTCCTGTCAAACAAACACAGTCTAACTTTAAGAATGTTCTTTTAGGAAGCTGGATCCAGAAACATGGCCTACTTTGCAAAATCATGAGAGGGCCCTCAAACACTACATTCCAGAGATGTTCAGCAGAAGGCCAATGTTAAACATAGATACTAGACTCTAAAGTGGTTACTCATTATAACTTGACAGTCTTGTTACTCCATTTGGGATATTGAAATACATAAACATATGCCTCCAAACAAAGGTTTTTATTTAACCTCTGTTTACATGAATAAATTAAAATACAAATACTAACTTTTTTACTATAATAACAACAATGTGTAATTCACATTACTAATATGTTGTTTCTAAAGTAATAAGGTAAACATTTCATGTTTTTTTGTTTGTTGTGTTTTCTGTAAAAAGAGGAGACTTCTGAAAATGTCATTTTTAGCTCTATGCTCAAACACATTAATAACAGGTCAAAAACACTATAACTAGATAGCATTTTCTTTTACACTCAGCTTTTGTTACACAGCTGACTCTCATTTACTTTACACTTAATATAGTCATTACATGAACTTGGTAATAACTAGTATCCCTAAACCTACTTATAACCTGTGCTACTTTAAATAGCATGTACTAAAAACACATAAAGTACACTATACTATAAAATAAAGATATAAAGTAAAACTTTATTGCAACATCATAATTTACGACCATAAATCCCTGAAAATAGAAAATATTAAATTAAAAACCTTATTAAATCTAATACATTATACACTGTTAGACCTTACCGTTTTTTTTTACAGTAGAATACTGGCAACATTGTTGCCAAGCTACTCACTGTAAAAGTTCGGTTACAGTAAGTAACTGGCAACAGTGTTGCCAGTTAATTACTGTAACAACCATTACAGTGAGTGGCTGGCAACAGTGTTGCCAGTATTCTACTGTAAAAAAGCCTGGTAAGGTCTAACAGTGTAGATGGGGCAGTAATGGTTGAGCAGTAATTTACCGTTTATTATCACAGTAACTATCTGTTATGGGTACATAAAGTAAATTACTGTAATTTATTCTTTGCACAAGAAAATTTCATACAAATCCTGCTCATTTTACAGTAAAATACTGTTTCCTTTTATTACAGCAAAGCACTGGCTTTTTTACAGTTATTTACTGCATAATCTACAGTAAGGGTTAACAGTGTATATATATATATATATATATATATATATATATATATATATATATATATATATATATATATATATATATATATATATATTAAGTAGGTTTCCTTTAATAGTTAGATAGTTAGAAGTGGTTTGCTCTGATCTGTAACTTAAATAATAATAATAATAGATAACTTCGATGCACATTTGACGACCCCTATTATGGTTCATTGTGAATGCATGTTTTGGCCAAAAATATGAATTCATCAGTTTGAAACCGGCAAATCTAAAGCACCGATAGCATTTATGAAACATGTTTCTTTAAAAATGGTTTCTGTAGGTGTCTGTAAAACTAGATGCAATGTTTGTATTTTATTAAACGCTGGCTCGCACATGAACGTTAAACAGTAAAATAAAAATATGTGCAGTCTTTCATGGTTATCCATTATTAGGTGCAGGAAATCAAACCTGTCCCAGTTCATTTAATACCACAAATGTCATTAAGAAACACTCCATATCCTCCAAAACACTGAAAATATAAAAAGTTTGAGTAATAAATTAGTTGTAATAGAATTAAATCTATACATTTGATTCACTGAGGCACATTAAACAAACAAACAAAATACTTACCCCCCCCCCCCAAACTAAGAGATGCAATACAACAAATGTTAACAACATTTAATGCAACCAACTTAAAAAATCATCTGCAGTCTTTTGCCTTCATTTGAAAACTGCTAAATATAAAAACAGTACAATTATTTTAACCATATTATATTCTCTAACCAATAAAGAGACCAGCGTGGGCTCAGGCTTTTTTTTTAACCGGTTCATTCATCACTGCTGTATTAAATTTCATAATATTAATAGATACTCATAGACAGTCCCTAACCCAAAGTTTTTATCGCATTAATTTGCGACTCACCTTTCAAATCAAACCATTCTGCAGGCACTTTCTACTCTGACGGGGATCATTTTGAGAAATATCTGCTCTGCGCCACATATTACTAAAAACAACCTGCTGGACGTGTCACAGCGCCGCAACATCCAACTGCTGCCGAAACCTCTGACGCAACCCATCCGATTTGCATATTCGCTTTTGGGAGGACGGGATTGGGCGCAGAATCCCCCCCGCGCTCGCCGCGCTGCATTTCATTAGCGGGTCGAGCAGAGCTCATTTGAATGCCGGGAGGCGGTCATTGGTGAATCAAGCTGTCTGCAGTAACGTCAAGAGATTAGTGAATCGCAGCTGGAATGCGAGCTTGATTCACAAAGGCATAAGAGGGAGACAAAGCCACCGAGAAGAGGAAACGCACACCGGACTGCCACATCCCGCACAGGTACCGAAAAGCCGCGTCGAGTTACTCCATTAGATCAACCTGCATCTGTACAGTGGTGTTTTGACAGGTGTTGTTGCTTTTATAATTGCAGAGAGAGACAGAGAGAGAGAGAGAGAGAGAGAGAGAGAGAGAACGCGCGCGCCTGACAGTGTGTGTCAAATGAATGCAAAGACACTATTATGTATACTGTATACATTGTACAGTACATACTGTAGTGTATACAGTATCACTGACTTTATATCCTCTATCACTTTCAAACATCACTTTTACACACGAGTTTATGTATACTTGCAAAGTACTGGATGTACTGGTAAACAGTTATGCAATAATAATACTTCGCACAACCCTAAAAAGAGTAAGCAATCCATTTGACCATTTGACATTTGATGACCTATTGAATTTGTAATAGTAGCCTAGTTTCTGAAGTGCACTCATTGACCTTGACAGTCGCTGACAGTGGTGTGTTGTTGTATTGACAGTCGCTCAGACAGGTCGCTGTGCAGCACGCGCCTCCTTAAGGGTTTATTGTGTTACTCATTACATGGAGAGAAACGACAAATATAACCCTTATAACGAAGAGCATGAAGTGAATGTCAGGTGATGACGACAGAGGGACCGCTCCTCCACTGATGACTCAAAGGGGGATGCAGCAAACAGGTTGCAGTAGACAGTGATTGACACTTACCCTTTTCGTTTTGCCCTTTAATGACTGAGAGAGTAAAATACAATGTATGTTACGTAATACTGAATAACTTGGCTTTAAATAGTTGTTGTTTCTACCCATTTAGAATGTCCTGGAACTAATAAGGTCATGCACACTGTATGATCATTAAATTTAAAATATATTATTTAAAAGCAGCCCTTTATGGTCACAATTTATTTTAAGGTACAATTCCTGCTATTAACAAACCCTTAACGAAGACTTTTAGCTTAATTAAGTACTGATTTGCTGCTTATTTATAGTTAGTAAGGTAGTTGTTAGGTTTAGGTATTGGGTAGATTTAGGGATGTGGAATAAGATCATAATTTATAAGTTGTAATAAACAAATAAAGCAGACTTATTATAAAGCATGTAATAAGACAGAGAATTGATACTTAAACTGAAGTGTTATTCCCTTCACCCTTGTGATTTATTTGTGTTTGAGAGACCCCAAGGGCCATTTAACGAAAAGAAAAAGTTAAAAGTAATATAATATAGGCTCATTCTGAAAACGTAGCCCTACATACATTTCTGGAGATCTTGATTTATGTAGCCAGAAGTACGTATGACTGCATTTCGTCTTTAAAATGAACGCTATGGGGCGGTATGATGTTCCTTTTCGCGCATACCAGCTGACTGCTTACCTGCGTATGAACGGTTTTCCTATTGTTACCAGTTTGTCCAGTTAGCTTGCCATGTTTGTCGGTGGACTTGAAACGCAAAGAAGAGTTGACCATGATGACGTGGTGGTTCGAGTCTGGTAAAGAACGGTTCCAGAAAGCTGGTAAAAGAAAAACAGAATTCAAAAAATAAAGTGAACAAGTAAATAACAGGGTGAGAAAGTAGTAAAATCTGAAACATCATAATCAGGATCAGATCTTTTTCTGGATTGCTTTTGTATCTGTGCTTTTGAAAACACTATTGGTTGCGTTCAGGGAAGGAGGAGTGTGGGTCAGTCAATCGGTCAGTCAGTCAGTCAGTCAGTCAGTCGACAGCGGCCTCTGGTGGATTTACGCAAGAGCAGCAGGTGCGAGTGGCAATCGCGAGTGAAATCTGAGATCTAAAAAACCATACACAGCGACCTCAGGTGGGTACGCGAAAACAAAAACTGTTTAAAAAACAGCTCCTGGGACATATTTGGCGCTCACCAGAAATGTATATAGAGGTATATAGAGAGTTGGATTTTGATAGAGCTCAGATTGAGATATATTTAGAAAAAAACTTAATTTTGCTTAATGTCTAAGTAATATCTGTCAAGTGAGTTTTATTTAGGTGATAAAACTAAAATTCAGATGGACAAGTAATTTATAATAAAGTTAAAATATAATCTGATGCACAATTAATGTATTAAATACACAGAGTATATCACAATTAATAATGTACAGTCAATATTAGCAAAACAAGGGCATTTTCAGTAGTTTTGATATTATTCACAGGCCCGTAGCCAGCCTGGTGAAAGGGGTGGTACTTTTTTTCTTAAAAAGTAAACCTTTTTGAAGTTATTCACCTCATTTTATATCAAACTATGAGGTTTAAATATGTTGCATTTTAGTTACCTAAAATGTCGTATGGTCATCATAACCACACTTTTTGATGTACCAAAAACCTAAAGATTTAAGTGAAGTTTATTCATAAACTAATTTCGAGAGGATCTTTTGATTGCTTGCAGTCGGCCCCGCATTATTCAATTTATGATTCACCAATCAGATGATTCCTAAGCCACTATAAATACGCCGAGTTCTATATAATAGCTGTCTTTGTTTTGTAGAATCTCCCCTTCCAACTCTACTCCACCTCCTTTCCTAAATGGGTGGCACGGTGGCCCAGTGGTCACAGCAAGAACGTCACTGGTTCTAGTCCTTACCAAGCTAGCCAACATTTCTGTGCGGAGTTTACCCCCGGGTTCCCCGGTTTCCTCCCACCATCCAAAAACATGCAACTTAAGTTAATTGACTAATCCAAATCACCACCATAGGCATGTTTCTAGTAAGTAAAAGAGCAATCACTATCTGTTCATTAGCTACTACAGCAGAGGAGTTCTCGAGATCTACCTGGGCTCAAATTCCCCTCTTGCCTTGCAAACGGGAGGGAGCCCTGGGCTCAATGATCTTATGAGCTCAGGGCTCTCTCCCAGGACAGCATGCCAAACAAGCTTTATTATCAATCATCAGCTAAATGTGAACTCTTGAAAAAAAAAAAAAAAAAAAAAAAAAAAATATATATATATATATATATATATATATATTTATATATATATATATATATATATATATATATATATATATATATATATATATATATATATATATATATGAGATCAATACTTATTTTTTTAATACAAATTTATTACATATATATACACATTTATATATCATGAAAAAGAAGTACAAATCTGTTAGTTTTAAATCAGAAACTATCATTTAAATATCATTAATTTAAATACCAAATTGGCCAGCACATTCAACTTTCCTCAACCACGCTGAAGCGACAGCATTCCGCTTGGTGTTAAAGCCTTAATCGATTGGCTATTTTTACTATTGCTATGACATAGCAGTCACAATAGGACAAATGAGCTCATGTTTGGGACAAATCCTGAACCTTTGTTAGTGATGGGTAGGTCGTTTGAACCACCTGACCCAACCACCCCCCCCCCCCCCCCCTCTTGCTACAGACCTGATGTGGATTAATATTCAAGAGTACATACACTATTGAGTGTATATTTGATGTGTTTACTGTTACTATTTTCACCCTTTAAATTGTATTTGCTAAAAAAAAGAAAGATATTGACTATTCTTTTAGTGAGTAAAAGGATCCATATATCTCTTATATTTAGTGACCTTGGCTATGCTATCAAGCAAGCATGTCAATGGCCTCTATAGATTCAGATAACATGATGTTTGTTGGCAGAGCATTACAGACTTTCCCCCCCTATATTAAACGCATTGTAAATAAAGCTGAGGGCTTATATAGCATGCCTTTGCACATTCATAGTTTATGCACATCCTTATCTCATAACAGGGTCATTGTGATATTGTAAATGAAAAGGATCCCTGTCTGGAAGATTTCATTTTAATCAAGTGCCTGGCAATCTCTGCATTTCATTAGTCCTCGTTCTATTTTTAGCCACGTTTACACAGGGCAAGACTGAACCAGACAGCTCCAGCCTCTATCTATAGCCTTGAGTAAAAGTGAGAGCATGCGTGTGCGTTTAGAGAGCATGTATGTGTGGCTGGTGATGGGCTATTGATCCCAAAAATAGCTGCGGGAGATTTAACAGTGCGTGTGACACTGGCGACAGGGCTGGCTTTGCCCGCGGACCAAGCTTGTCAGGGTGGATCATGGGAAGAAAGGGCATGTGGAAAAGCTCTATGGAAATGGGTGCAAGCTGTTCCCCACTTGCCGCTGTTGTTTGTGCGGGCAGACAAGAGACTGGCTCTGCTTTAAGCTCATCACCTAATCTTTCTGGCGAAGCATTAGTTACTGGGGCCAGGGGTTAACATCTGTTCGCTGGGGTTCTGGGAGGTAACTGTTCCAGTTCTGTGTCACCTGTCATGAGGACGCGCTTTTTCCCCCCTCCTGTTTCCTATATGCTGTCTGGGTGTACAGGGAAAATACTCTAAACGTCTCTTCTTTGACCTCTTGTAAAGTTGTTTCTCTGCGCAATATATACAAGCAGCACATCTGACACAAAATCTTGGAAAACTGTTAAGAACACTGACAGCCAATCAGAATCCATCCTGCTTTAAAGAGCTAGAGAATTTAAAGTGGCAGGTGACAATACTGCAGTGCATGCTTAAAATAAACAACGTTATCATCACTGGTGTAGACCAAACCTAATATAATTATTGATGTACAGCTATCTTTATCTTTATTATATCTGGGTGAACTTTCGCGATCTTTGTTTGTGAAATGAGTTCCAAGCCAGTGCTTCCTACAGGTTTGAAATACACTTTTTACCCACATCCCATAAATAGTTAACTATGTGCTACAAACAAAACATAATTTGATTTTTAACAATATTTTAATTTATTAAGAAACTGTTATACACCGTTTCTTTTCAATAGGTTTAAGTTATTTTAAAAATTCGCTATTTCTCTTACCTTTATGCTATTCAGAAGTCATGTGCACCCACTGACAGGTAAAATCTGCTTCTTTCCAACCAAGTTCAGGTTGCTTTATTGGCATGACATTTTGTACAGTATTGCGAAAGCATTTTTGAGGTATAAAATATGCAAATTATATTAACATCATCAAATGAATAAAATATACAGCAAATGAGAAATAAAGTAAATAAAAAAGGAATAAAAACAGGTAATAGCCCCTCACACATACGGATCTTTCCGGAAACTTACTGACAATTACCTTATGTATGTGTGAACAGGCCCTTTTTATTCTGAAAATACTGGTAAATTCGTTCCTGCAATTTTCCATAATTTGCCGGAATGCTGCACTGTGTGAGCGCAGACGCAAAATTGCTGGAAAGAGCGTGATCACACTTAGAACGTGCTGATGTGAGACATCTACTCCAGCCAATCAGAACATTCAGACGCATTCACATCCGCGCTGTTTATGAAAATATATGCCTTTGGATACTTTTCCAGACACATTTAGTTTCTAGATGTTGGTCAGATAACGTTTCTATGTTCCTTCTTAATGCCAACTGTCAAATTAAAATGCTTTTGAAAAACCGCTGTTTGTTTACCTTTAAGCTCTGCTTCAGTTGCTTGACTCATGTGCACGTGAAGTGCAGGAGGGCTCCGGTGAGCGTCAGCACACACACACATTATGTACATCTCGACATGCAAAAGTGTTCCTCCATATGTTTTCGTCGAAGTTGTTCACAATACTTATCCATCCACAGAATTTGTAATGTTGGTAAATGTGTTAACATTTAGCTGCGGTTGGCGGTTTTGCCTTTGGAAGTCTTTGGGATAAGCTGCACGAATGCTAAAGCTTTAAATAAAAGTAAAATCATCATGATGGATCCCTATTACAGTACATTTACAAATACAATCGCAGCCTTTAGAGCTCATTTCTGGTTAATGATATCAGAATTTACTGGTATTTTGGAATGGATGTGTGAACAATCTTTTTCGAATAAAAAATCTGGAACGTCCTTGCCTGTGTGAACAGCGCTTTTTTGAATTTACCAGTAAAGTCACTCCGGTATTTTTTCGGATGTTTACCGGTATCACTGTGTGAAAGGGGCTAATATCTCTAAAAATCATAATAATTACAAGAATAAAATGTGTAGATTATTTCAATAAGGCAAATGAGTTGATTAGCCATTTCTAATGATGTTCAAATATTTTGCAGCCAATTAGATCAAATTTAGTTCACGCAAGAGAAATTTGAGATCATTGAAAGGCTCACACAGTGACCTCTGGTGGATTTGCAAAAACAAAAACTGTGAGCAGACATTCCTCCAGTTCGCAGTATTTCGCTGTCCTCAGAAATGTAGACCTGGGTACTTATCCGTAATGAGCCTGGGTACTATGTATATGACAATAAACACTTTGAATCTGAATCTTGAATTAGAAAAAAGTGCACTGTCAAACACAGATTTTCACCTGCAAAAATACACTGAACAAGGGTAAATGGGACCACAGTATTATTCCACTGCAAAAGTGTAGAATACAGCCTGGATTCAATCTGCGATATTATAAACCCAATACCCAATTTTGATTTTGTCGTGTGCCTCTTGCAGCCATGAAGGGAGAGCATTTATTTGCCAACATGAGAAGCGCTCCATTCTTCCAGCGGATTTACCTCTTAGGAGGAGAGGAGTTGGTAGTCCTGCAGTCCACTATGGGAGAGTCCTCGCTGGGAGACAGTTTCCAACAAATCACCGACTTCAATGACCTCCCCACGTCCCTCTTCGCCTGCAATGTGGACCAATCAGTATTTGAAGACCACGAGGGCAAGGTAAGGTTAAATTAAATTACTCACATGTTACTTGTTCCAATCCGCCAGCACTTAATATAGAAACCACAACTGTAAAGCTGTGTTGGGAGTTCCTTTTGTGTGCATCAAATATAACAGCATTATTTCATTAAGGTTTGTTGAAAAATAATAATAATCACCCACTCCTTGAACTTTACTTCAGAGTCAAAAAGTCAAGTAATTAAAAAGGAAAAAAACATTCACCATTTAAGATGATTCTATATTTGTTGTAGCACAGTTTTAAAAAAGCATGGTCACATAGAAACAAAAACGGTTATATTGGTAGGTATGCTGGAATACTCCGGTGGAAAAGCAATTCCCTAGACTTACATTACATGATTGTGAATTAGGCCTCTCCAACCCAATTATCCATGTAGGCCATTTCAGGTGTGAAATTCGGCTTGTGGTTTCTCGTCGACATTGCTTTCTCCTCATTTGCTAACACTCTAAGGAGAGAGTTTACACCTAGAGGCAAGGGAATATCTTTGATTTCTTGTGAAAGCTTATTTGTGTGTTGTTGTTGTTTTGCTGGTATGTTTTGCTTATGATTACCTAAGTACTATGAAACCATACTTAAAAAAAGGCAGCTAAAAGCAATGAAAATGTGCATTTATTTCAGTAGCTTCAGTTCAAGAATTAGTTCACCCAAAAAATTTATAAAATTAATGAAAACTAACCCATGCTTTACCCAACCACAAGGCATCCTAGGTATATATGACTTTGTTTTGTAAACTAATCTGAGTTGTTTAAAAAAATGGCAACAGGTGGGTGTTTTTCTTCAACAATTCAAATTCCAATAAAGAGCATCAGTACATAATCAAAGTGCCTCAAATAGCTCAGTGGGTTAAATTAAGGTCTTCTGTAGTAAAATGATGTGTTTTGTAAGAAAAAGATTCATATTTAAATCTTTAGAAACAGTAGATCTTGAAAGAGCTTTGATATTTTTTATTATTGAAGAAAATCATATACACTTATGATGCCTTGAGGGTAATCAATTCATGGGATAATTAGATTTTTGGGTGAACTAACCCTTTTAGCATCCGCTCTAAGATGTTCCCATACATAGTCTGATTCTCTTGGTTCTTTGGTTTGGACCAAAAATGTTAGCATGGACTTTACTAAACAACTAAAAGAGTGCTACATTCTGAAATTGTTACACATGATGATATTTTTAGATATTTTTAAAACCTTTTAACTTGTGAAGAGCTTACAAAATGGGTTAAAATAAATGAAACAGGACAAGGAATTCAGGAACAAGATTCTGTCTTTTTTGGGTCTTGTGATGTCATGCCTCAAGTGTTGTATTGACATGTCAGTCAAATTGCAAATTGAGCTCACGTTTTAGATCTAACATAATCACGTGATGTAATTTTGCAGGTCAGAGTTCACCAAGCTTGAACTTTCGAACACAGCGAAACTTGTTGCATGAGCTTGTGTTTCCGGTCTGCTGCAGTCGCATGCATATAAATGGAAGTCTAAGGGGCGAAAAACGTAGTGTAACCGCAGCTTTATTCATTTTTTGTTCAGTCATTTAAGGTGTGTATTTCTTTTTACCTTCTCCTTTTAATTATTTTATTTATCTTAAGGTATTTTTCCTTCACTTTTGTCAATTGGTGAAGTTTGTTCCTCACCATTGTCGCTATACTGGCTTGCTTGGTTTGGGACTTGTGGAGCTGCGCATCAATGGATTTACTCTTTAGTGTTTGGACTTTCAGCAGTGAAATTTAAACCACACTGAAGTGAACTAAACTGAACTTCAACTCTGAAAACTGGAATGACAACGTTTCAATTTAATAGAACTCAATTTCTAGAAATAAATTGTAGAAATAAACATGAATTGAATTGAATATGTACATTTATTACAAAGAGTAATAACGTGTACAATAAAATACCGTCAAAAAAGTTTTGACCTGATATAAACCTAGGTAAGACACAGGAAAATGTTGTGATAAAATAAAATTATTAGTGTCTAATGGATTATCAAAAAATAAATGCATGACTGAATGAATGGTTGTTGATTTTTAAACACTAAATAAATACATTTATTTGTGCTAAATAATGGTAGAAGTTGATCAGTTTGTATAGCTAGAAGTTAAGTGCACTGACAGGTACTGTAGTGCATCTACGTATTGATTTCCATCCTGTGGTCCATTGGTGAACCTGTCTCTATCCAATCTTTCCTGTCATCTCTCCACTGTCCTATCAACAAAACAGAAAGAGGGGTTTTAACTAATATTTAGAAATGAAGTAATATGAAATGTACTCTGTAAAAAATGGTTCCACACAGTTGATTTTTGTTGGGACAACATTAAGGAATTAAGTTAGCATATTAGTTTTACAAATTTGGGTAGACTGAACATAAAACAATTAAGCTGTCCCAAAAATACCCTCAAGAACTGAGTTGTTTCAACTAATTTTAAATAAGCATATCAAACAAACAACAAATGTCATTTTTTGTGTGTATATTTTAACCAAATAGGCATTTTTTAACCTTAGATTAGCCTTAGAGGTTGGGGGGTGGCTTGATGATATCCAAAAATCTAATTAATTTTATTAAACTATTAGAATTACCATATTTTATTTATAACCTACAGAAAAAAAGTAGTTGATAGTCACATAAAAAACAACATGCAAATAAAAAGCCATCAGCCTTTCGATTTTTTTTTTTTTTTTTGCGACCTCTGTGGTAATTTTGTTTTATTAAAGACACAGCACATTGATTTTATGGCACCAGGTTAAACTTTCTGCCACTTTTACGGCACTCACATACATTAAAAATAAATACAGGCCACAACTGAACATGGAGGATGGTCTCCAAGTGGCGTTTTTCAAAATTGAATGATAAATTGAATTAGGCCTATTAGTATGTGTGTGCCATTGTGTGCAAAGTTTACATACTGTATTTATAACCACCTCAGAGGATATTTGGGGTCGCAAGTCACTGCCATTGTTATTTTGGGGGTCGCAGGCTGAAAAGTTTGGGAACCCCTGCCTTAGACGGATGTAAATCTTTTCTAAGTGACCTCCAAAACTAAAACTAAACTTAAAAAAAAAAACATAATATTTCCACTTTAAGAAACATTTAGTAAATACACACTGTAAATTTCCATTTCATTCTGGGTTCAAACAATTGACGTCTTTGAATGTTACATCATTTGGAACAGAAACCGCAGCAGTTACTGAATATCTGACCTCTAACTGAATATTTAGCCCAGAACATTGATCATGTGATTTTCTGAGCTCCACCAGGTCTGTCTGCCCCTCTGACCTGCACCAGACTGCTTCACAGACACACACATTTCTTACACTGATCTGTCTTGACAGCTACTCTCAGACAGACTAGATCATCTGATAGGAGGGCTCTGTAAAAGGTGGTCCCTGACTCGCTCCATTGAGTCACAGGCTCCAGAAGGGTTCCTCATGAACCAGAACAAGTGCTCCGTCTTTTACTCATGAACGACCTCACTAATGTGAACATGCACAGTAATTCTTGAAAAGTATCCCCTTGCTTCACATTAACTTGAACCTGACTTGGCATGACTCATGTGGGCAATTTCCTTACATAACAACTAACAGTGTTGAAAGTGACTGTTTTTAAGGTGAATTCAGTGATCCATAATCAGGGACTCTGTCGTACCACGCTGTTAGTTTGGTTTGGGGCAAGGTTGTGTGGCTTTAGTGCTATTGTAAAAAGTTAGCTTACACTGTAGCCCTCATAGAGTTTCAGCATAATGCTTAAGCAATGTGGTTGTCAAAGTTATTTATTTTAATTTCAATTTTAGAGTTTAACGAACAATATGTTTTACAATGTGTCCTAACATGTGATAAATGGTATATTTTCCATGTTAAAAGTAGTTTTTGTCCTTAGCATTTGCAACCGTGATATGCAAAATTTTTATTTTAGAAACGGTTTCTATTTCTGGGACGTCGTGGCTGAACAATAACATACACTACCATGACACTAATCACCTCATGTGCTGATTATGTACTTTATTCAGTGTTAAATGCTGCTAATGTGAGTCTGAATGTAATTTTACATGCCATACTGAAAGCGGAAGCATTTAGTTAACCCAAAAAAGTTGTGAAACATGTGAAATTGAATGTTAGAACTGTGATTCAGTGCAAACCAACAAATTTGCCTGTACTTAAATTGTTAATATGTATTAATTAGATAATAAACATTACTATTTAATGTCGTGCTGTCTATGGTGTGGACAGCTAGATTGCATTTCAGAAGAATCATGGCGTGCTGCGTTTGGACCTTTTATTAGGCAGATAAGTGATTGTTTTTTCTCTACTAATTAAAATAAGGTCTGTGGATTCCTTAGCAATACACAATAATGGCATTCACGAATGAATTGGTTGAATGAACGATTCAGTGAGTCACAAGTAAAAACTAGATGCTTGTTTAATACCTGAATGATTTAATGCCTTAAAGGGCAGCTATTTTACCCCTTTTATAAAATGTAAGATAAGCCTTTGGTGTCTCCAGAATTTGTCTGTAAAGTTTCAGCTCAAAATACCCATCAGATTATTATTATAGCCTCCAGAATATGCCCATTTTGGTGTCTGAATACATTGTAGCTGTTTTTGTATACTGTGGCTTTAAATGCAAATGAGTTGCTTCTCACTGCCCACCGTTCCCACGTGGATGTCTACTTCTTAAGCGTTACATTAGATAAACAGCAGTCAGTGATAGAAAGAGACATGGATGTAGCTGAAATACAGCTCATTAGTCAAAAATGCCAAGTAAGTTTATTTTATGTATTTTTGGTGGGAGCATATAGTTAACCCAGAAATTTGAAAATAAAATAACTAGCAAACATGTTGAATATTAAAACTATGAAAACCAACAAATATCAGTCACTTAACCTGTTACCAATGTTATTATGTGTTAATTAGATTATAAACATTACCATTTTATGGCATATCGAGTGCGGAATCTTGTTGTGGTGCATTAGGATATCGTGTTAGGCAGAAAA